TCATCTATGTAGGCTGCTGCATAGTCCTGGTGTGGGGCAAGTGTACTTTCCATTAACCGCTGAAAGGAGGCGGCAGTCCCATTTAGCCCAAACGGCATTCTTTTAAATTGGAAGAGGCCCCACAGGGTGCCAAATGCTGTTTTTTCTTTATCTTCCACGACCACTAGGATCTGCCAGTACCCTTTGGTGAGATCCAGGGTGGATATATATTGAGCCCATCCCACTTTCTCTAACATGTCATCAATTTGGGGCATCAGGAAGGCGTCGAACATGGCGATTTCATTTAGTTTCCGGTAGTCAATGCAAAACAAATTGACCCGTCCTGTTTTGGCACCACCACAATGGGGCTTCTTTAAGGGCTTTTAGACTCTTCGATAATCCCCAGTCTCTTCATTTACTCGATTTCCTGATGGCCGGCCACAAGTGGCAAGGTAGCCTCCTCCAGTAATCTCTAATTATGGGTCCCTGTGGTGTCATGATATGGTGGTGGACCCCCTAGCCTCTCCTGGTACTTCTCTGAATACATCATGAAATTCCACAATTAGTGCTCTCATTTTGGCTTGACAGCTTGGGTCTAATTGGTTGTCTACCTTTGGTTCCCCCCAAGCCTCCGTCAGGTCCCGGACAGTTGTCCCATTTTCTTTTTCAATCCCATCTACCAGTTTCATTAGCCACCCATCTCCTTGACACCACTTTCATAGCAGGTTGAGGTGATATATTTGCTTTCTCCGTGTCAGTGTCGTTCGCAAAACCTCGTAATTCACAGGCCCTGTGCATCAGGTCACGCAAAAGGAGCCTTGCCACTGGGCCATGATCTTGTGGGTGTTGTCTGGGAGCAACACTACTACCCAGTCCTCTGCCTGAAGTTCCCTTTCGATGGATCGGAACGTTGTTTCTGTCTCTCTTGGCACTGGCTAAGGTTTTTTTGTGCTATTTCTTGAACCCTTTCCAACCGCTCCCTGAACTCTCCCACCACCCGTGGTTGCGACGGGTCCGTCTCAGCTTGTATCTGCTCCTCACATATTAGGTCTAATAGTCCTCGAGGGCTGTGACCGTAGATTAATTCGAATGGGACCTACCCAGTCAAAGCCTCAGAGGCTTCCCTTATCATGAAGAGTAGTGGGGGTAGCATAGCATCCCATTCCCGGGGGTCCCCCTGAATGCATGCCCTGATCATTCCTTTGAGGGTGCGGTTAAACCACTCCACTAGGCCATCGGTTTGAGGATGATAGACTAAAGTGCGCAGCTGTTTAATTTTCAGCACCTGGCGGAAACCCTTTAAAATCTTTGACATGAAATTTTTCCCTTGGTCCATCAAGATTTCATAGGGTATCCCCACCCAAGCAATCCATCTCAGCAGAGCCCACTATGGCTGAAGCTGTCACTGACCTCAATGGTACTGCTTCAGGAAATTGCGTGGCATAGTAAATGATCATGAGAATCAATTGATACCCCGTCCTGCTACATGGGAAGGGGCCAGCTATGTCCAGTGCAATTCAATCAATTGGCCACCCAATCAGGGGCACTGGTATCAGTGGAAACCTTGCCGGCTTTACTCCCCTGTTTTTCTGACATTCTGGGCATTCCGCGCAGAACTTCTCTGCCATCTTACTTATGCCGGGCCAGAAGACCCTGCGCTTTAGCCTGGCCTCCATCTTATCTATTCCTAGGTGCCCCTGTCATGGGCAGAGTGTGGGCCACCCGCAGCAAGCCCTCCCAATATTTCTGGGGCACCAGGATCTGGGATCTCTCTCCTCCCTCTTCTTGATCTTCTACCCCGTAAAGAAAGCCCTTCCTTACCTCATATCGTGGGTTTTGGAGGTGTCTCTGCAGATCTTCCTTATTCTGGTGGTCCGGAATTCCAATATATTCCTGAATAAGCGTTCCTGACATTGCTCCTGATGAAAGTCCCCTTTTCCTATAACTTGGTCCACATCCACGTCTTCCTCCAGATCTCCAAAACAAAGAGCCTGGGGATTCCTTTCTTCTTCCTTGTGCACCTCCATAATCAGCTGGCGAATAACTTCTTCCAGGTATGGCCAATCCATGCTCAGCAGTATGGGACAAGGTAACATCTCAGCCAACCCCACAAGAATCTCTTCAGTGCGCCTCAGCACCAAGAGGTTTACCTTCTTCCGTATAGGCAGCACCATGCATACATACTATGGATACTGGGCTTCCAGGACTCCCTACATGTGGGGGAAACAGTTTCTTATGTATCATCAACTGGGAGCAGCTGGTGTCCACAATTGCAGGTATGACTGTGTCATCTATTCTTACTTCCACCACGGGCTTGCTCTTTTGGCCCGGACTTCTGTGCCGCCCAAAACTACAATCCATCTTTTTGTCGTGTGCATCAGCCACAGTGGCTTGGGCCTGGGATGGCCTAGGGCAAAACCAGGACATGTGGCCCTTCTCTCCACAGTGGTAGCAGGTCAGCGCCCGGGAGCTCCCTGCACATCCCTCTCTGCGCGCGCTCTCCACATCATGGAGGTGCAGTAATGGTCTGTCATGGAGTCAGAGCAGGGCCACTGGCTTGGTACCCCTTTTTCTCTGAAGCCACTGCCAGGTTCCCTTCCGGATCCCAACCGGGGACCGACTCCCTATTGTGGGACGCCTCATCCCGTTGCTGCCCAGACCTGCAACTTCTTCCCACCTACAACTTATTGCTGGCATCTGGTAGCCACGCAGTCCCTTCTTTGCATCTCGGCTCCATGTTTAGGGGTAGTCTTCCCCTGGGCTCTTGGGCAATCCCCCTCTCCATCCTCTCAGTGCCCACAGGTGTTTGTCCCAGGGCCTTGTCCTCCTTATATTTCTCCACCCTGGGCATCGTGACTGCCAGCTACGGGGATTTCCCCAAGTAATACGGCTCTGGTCAGGAACCCTGTTCACCTGAATGGAGAGTGTAACTCCTTCCCTTAAATTGTGCTCCTTGTTACTTTTTCCAGTGCCAGGTTAAATTGGATCACAGACAAACCATCCTCTGTTTCAATCCAGTTCTAAGTGGGAAGGGGTCCGATTTGCTTTCGCAGGTTCTAATTCTGTTTCTTGATTCATGTATGAAAACTTTAATGAGATCAACTAGTTTGCTGGGAAATCCTAATGCAACTATTGTGGGCTACAGCCTTTCTCTACATAGACTATCATAGGCCTTCTGGAAGTTAATGAACAGAAAGTGTACATACACTTTGATTATATTCCCTTTTTCAACTATTTGTCCCAGTGAGACAATTTGGTAAGATAAATAAAAACCAAGTAGAATTTTTGTTTCTTTGCAGATACCTTGTATTCTATTGAAATGAAGCACCAGAACATAATCTGAAATATTTGATTTTCCTCTTAAGGCCTTATAAATAGCAGCTCTGTAGAAGGTTAGAAAGCATTTGCACTTAACAGTATGCAGTTCTCTTCTATGCCCTGTGAATTGAGTGCAGGTAATGGCCTGGAAGATGCTCTCCAATTTGGTTTTGAATGGCAAACTCCTCTTTCTGGTTTGGCTTACATTTACATGGCAACACATGTCAGACCTACAGGTTTAATGGGCAAATGTGTTGAGTTTTACAGTCATTGGAAAGATTTTAGTTTTTGCCTGGCAACTGATGTGTTACACTCATAGGCAGGAGTACTGTCACATGAGTAGCAGGCATAGCATACAACTGAAGTACTATGTGCCTTCAATCTGAATGATAGTAAGGGAAGCCCTTGAACTTGAATGCCACATCTGTGCTGTTACAACTGTATCACCCACAAATCTCAATGACAGCACAGTTCAAAGGTTGCAGGAAACAACCCAGCTCCTAATCTAAACCCTTAAGCCAAGGGCTAAATATATACAGCAGTAATGTCAAACTCTTAACCCTGCAGAACAGGTACATAGTGTGGGACTGGTCCATAAGACAAGTAAATGGCACCCAGCTGGTCCCACTGGCCAGATTAGGCCCACAGCCCCTCCCAACCCATGGTGGATCCAGCACGTGGCAGCCACTCTAACCAGCATCCCAGACTCTTCACTGCCAGCATAGGAACAAGCCACAGTGCTAGGCTTCCTACATTCTTGTTGGGGCCCCAGTGCTGTTACTCTTGCCCAGGTGCTTGGCAGCCAAACCAACAAGAGTCACAACACAGGAGCCACAGCAGTACTGCAGCTTCTTTCCACAGCTGCAACCAGGCAGCTGGGTGACAGCTGCAGTGCTAGAGCCCCAGCAGCATCATGGTTTCTTCTTACAACAGCAGCCAAGCTTCTGGGTGAAAGCTACAGCACTGGAGCCCCAGCAGCACCTCAGGAAGAAGCCCAATACCTCAAGAGTTTGGCTGCTGCTGCAGGAACAAGCCACAGTGCTAGGCTTTATCCCATGGTACTGCCGAGGTTCCAGCTCCACAGTTGTCACTCAAGCACTTGGCTGCCACTGCAGGAACACACCATGGTGCTGGTTGGGCTTCAGCACCGCAGTTCTTACCCACACACTTGGCTGCTGCTATGGGAAGCAGAGTTGGGGCAACTCTGCAGGCTGGGTGACCTGGCTCCCCAGGCCAGATGTGGCCTGCAGGACATATATTTGACACCCCTGAAAAATCCCTGTTTGTTTTGAATACATCTTATTTACTGAATATCATTTTTAAAGTGTCATAGCCTTAGTTCTATTGGACTATTTCATTGTCCAAACATGGCCATAAATTTTTCCATTTGCATTTATCAAGATGTCACAAGAATTTGTCCACAAATATTTGCTATGAAGTTAGGTTCTGGAACTGAATCTAAGTGGTAAAATAAATTCTTGCAAAGTTCACAATCAAAACAATGAAGAAACATGCATATGCAAGTAGCAATTAATTCTTGAACAGGGTTACTACATTTTTATTTGAACAAGCAAGCTTCAAAGCACATGGATAAGTTGTTTTTTCCCTATTCACAGCTATTTACCTCTTTCTCATGGAGTCATGAGTTAGCAGACATCTGTATCCGTTTCCTTATGAACAAAACCCATTGGTTTATGAATTACTCCAGTTCACAACAATACTTTATGAAAGGCATTTGCCTCACAATGAGATTGTATACAAGATACAGCTTGCTTTCTGGTTGTTTCCAGGAAGGGACATAAGTACCTGAGGACTTTCTTCTCCTGTTCACCAATTACACCTGTGTATTAATCTTTCAGTATAAGTGGAGACTTCACTTGGTCAGACACCTCCTTCCCCATTAGCGTTTCAATAATAGCCAAGCCAAACTCAAAACTGGTGCCTGGACCACGACTGGTAAGAATGTTCCCATCCTTCTCAACCCGGTTTTCAGAGTACTTGTAGTGTTCTGGAGAGGAAGACAAGGCAGGATACATTGTAAGGCTCACACAGAATTAATGCAGCAATTTTGCAACATTTTACAAACATACCATAAGGGTTGGGGTGCTGTCAACCCAAAAAGTCACAAGTCATGGCCCTGAAAGTCATGAGACTTTCTAGAAAGGGCTGGTAATGGGGTTTCTTAAATGTCTGTTTCTTGAAAATTTTGAAGTGCATGCAGTTGTTTTCACCTCCCCCCCCCCATAAGTGTGAGAAATGTGGGTCTGGTTTGGTTTTGTTTAATGAAGACCAAGAGTCTTTTTTAATCTACAGCAGCCCACAGTAGTTCATGCTTTAAAAAGCAAACCCATAAAACATCACAATAAAAGGTCTGGACAGCTGGCAAAATAGCACTGCAACTAATAGTTCATCGTCTATCTCCCTCTAGTGAAAGTTCTGCAGTATTGCACCACACCACTCAAAATTGCTGAAGATCAGCCACATCATATGCTAAACATGTCACAGTAATTTCCACTGCTGGCTGAGCAATGTCCTTGAAAAATGGAAAGCTCACAAAAAGTGTGTGTCATTTCCTGCCCCCCACCCCTGCTTTGTAACGCTGAGCAGCCCTGATATGTCCATGCCCTGCCTATGCTATTGCCCCTCACTCCCAAGCCACAGCCCCCCAGCCCTGCTGATGCCCCTCAGTCCCCACCCACAGCCCTCTGGCACCCCTCACTCCCTACTTGCAGCCCCCTGCCCTGCCAAAGGGGGGCCCCAGCTGCCACCTGTGGGAGGCAGCAGCGGTGGCTGCTGTGGCCAGAGCAGAGCATGGAGCCTGGCTCCCCCTCCCCCATGGGCAGCAAGACTGGAGCAGAGCCCAAGGTGGGGGGCAGGTACAAGCTGCCCACTGCAGGACTGTCCCACCGCCCTCCCCA